TTATTTTTTATTTATTATCTTTTATTTTATTTTATTTTTTTCTTTCCTCTTTTTTCCAATTTATATTTTTACTTTATTGATTTATTTATTTTTATTATATTATCTATTCCATATTGGACATCATAATACCATGTTTTTCATACACACACACACACACACACACACACACACCCCTACCTATATACGTATCATTGTAACTTTATTTTCTGTTGTTGTTTGTACTGTATGTCCACTGTTTGTACTCCACTTGGTGTAATGTATTTGTCCTCTATGTCACCTTGTCTGTTGTCACATAATTTCACCAATTAAAAAAAAAAAAAGAACCATGATATTTTCATTGGTATCGTACAGTGGGATCCAATTTTGGTACCGTGACAACACTAATCTGGAGGGGGTTCATCTGCCAAAACTAATGAAAAACTAAACAACGATATTTGGTACTCGGTATTCGGCCAAGTGTTTATTATTTGGCTTCGGCCACAAATTTTCCTTTCGGTGCATCCCTAGTACTTGTACAGGTTGACAGAGCTGTGGTGGGATGTGAGCTGGTTTGTGTAAAGGGAGAATAGCCAGGGTGAGAGGACACAGGCCTGGGGTGCGCCTGTACTGAGGAACACGGGAGGATGTGTTATTGTTGATCTTCACCTTCTGTTGCCTGTTCCAGAGAAAGCTGTGAATCCAGTGACCGATGCATGGGTCAATGTTCATGTCCAGTAATTTATTTAACAGTTTGACCGGGTTTATTGTGTTAAATGCAGAACTGAAATCCATGAACAGGATGCGGGCATATGTGTTTGCAGACTCCAGGTTCAGTATGTGATGAATTGCTAAGTTGACGGTGTCCTCAACTGACCTGTTGGCTCTGTATGCAAATTGGTATGGGTCCATGAGGGGGGTGGTGACAGTTTTCAGGTGAGAGACTGCTGGTAACCTTCTACCGCTGCTCTGTAGAGAGCATTCTGTTGTACTGTGTCTGTGTTTGGTTTGCCAGCTGCACAGCCGCAGACAGGAAAGCGCTTCAGAGAGTCATCAACACTGCCTAGAAGATCATCGGCTGCCCTCTCCCCTCACTGGAAGAACTGTACAGTTCCCGCTGCCTCAGTAAAGCCAGGAACATACTGAGGGACTTATCTCACCCTGGGCACCCTCTGTTCGAACTGCTACTATCAGGCAGGAGATACAGGACTCACAAGTCAAAAACAAACAGACTAAAGAACAGTTTTCATCCCAGAGCCATCGCTGCCCTGAATAATGTTGAATAATGTAATACTTCGAAGCTTCTTGCACAACAGCTGCAGGATGGTTGTTTGTGTGTGTGTGTGTGTGTGTGTGTAAGACGTATTTTTAGTATTAAGTCTAGTACTTACGTACTTTTATTTATTGCACCATGATTGCACTTTATTTCGTTGTACTCATACAATGACAATAAAGATTCTATTCTATTCTCTATTCTTGAGTATGATGCGCTCAAATGATTTCATGACGGCAGATGTCAAGGCGATGGGTCTGTAGTCACTGAAGCAGGAGATGTTCTTGGTCTTGGGAACTGGGATGATAATGGACTATTTGAAGCACTTGGGTACTGAGCTTTGACAGAGGGAGATGATGAAGATGTTGGTGAAAACACCGGCCAGTACCACAGCGCAGTGGTGGAGAACGGAGGGGCTTGATGTTATTGGGGACAGCTGCTTTATTCCTCTTAAGTCCCCTGAAGGTGCTCCTCACCTCCTCCTCTTAGATGGTGAAAGGTGGGGGAGGGAGGGGGGAGGGGAGAAATGGTGATGGAGCCGGTGCCTGCTCAAACCTCCCACAGAAAATTTTGAGTGTGTCAGCAAGCTGATTGTCGTTATCAGGTGTGGGGGTGGGTTTCTTTTTGTAGTTTGTCATGTTTTGGAGTTTTTCAGATGAAACTTGTGTCATTAGTAATGATTTGTCCTTCTAGATTAGTGGCGTAGTTGGATTTGGCTGTTCTTATTGCAGATCTCAGTTTGTATTTGGCAGCCATATATTGTTCTTTGTTTCCTGACAGATGTGCCGAATTTTTCTCCTTTCTTAATTTTTTAATGTCCTTGTTAAACCACTGTTTATTATTATTGTAGTGTTTGACTTTTTTGAGTGGTATGCATAGGTCCACGCAGTAATTGACATATGACGTCACTGTGTCGGTGAGGTCGTGGAGGTCACCCGCAGCATGGAAAACATCCCAGTCTGTGCATGCGTAACAGCCCCGAAGTCTTTCGATGGCTTCAGGGGACCAGCACCGGACAAGTTTTGTTGATGTCTTGGAGGATTTAACTTTTTGCCTGTATTGTGGAATTAGCAGCAGCATTGCGTGGTCGGACCTGCCCAGCGGAGCCCTCGGGAAAGCAAGGTAAGCCTCTTTGATGGTAGTGTAGCAGTGGTCCAGTGTGTTGGTCCCTCTGCTAGGGCAAGTTACCTGCTGATGGTAGCCGGGGAGCTCGGATGACAGATTAGACCGAGTCCCCAAGAACGATGACTGCTGTGTCCGGGTGTGAATTCTCCACTGAGGAGACGTAGTTGGCTAACTCGGCTATGGTGGTGGTAGCGTTAGCCTCAGGTGGAATGTACACACAGATCATAATTACTGATGCGAACTCCCGTGGGAGGAATGATGGTCTGCGTTTGACAGTGAGGTATTCCAGGTGTGGGGAGCATACATGGGTGAGTTCTGTGGAATTTGTACACCAGCGTTCATTGATCATTATGCAAACACCACTGCCTTTTGCCTTGCGCGATGGTTTGGTTGATCAGCACGGTGTAATGTGAAACCTGGAAGTGTTACCGCTTGGTCAGGTACTGATTGATCCAGCCAGGTCTCTGTCAGGCAGATGGCAGAACAGTCACTGTAGTCTTTGTTGGTTTGTATCATAAGTTGGAGTTCATCCATTTTGTGCCGGAGGGATCTGACGTTTGACAGCAGAAGGGCTGGGAGCGGTGGCCGGTAAGGGCATCTCCTGAACCTGGCAAAGGTGCTGGAGCGCCGGCCCTTTTTGGTCGGCAGCCATGGTGTTGAGTGGCTTGAGATGTTTAAGTCCCGTAATTTCTCCTCCAGCAAGGATGTAGATGGGCCCAGATCACTGTGCGAGGTGGATCTGAGGTTTAAAAGGTCCGATCAAGTGTACTGGATTAAGCACAACACTTTGCAGACAAGTAATGCAGACACTAAAATGACAGACAGGATCACTGCTTGTACTGTGGCAAGCCTCACAGCCGCCATCTTGCATCTTCATTTTTGCTGTGGTATCGTGATACTACTCAGAACCGTGATACTTTCACTGGTATCGTACCGTGGGTCCCAATTTTGGTACCGTGACAACACTAGATCCTTCCTAATTTATGTCCAGGGAAAACCACAAAAATGGGCAAGTCTTTTCAGAGCCAGTCACTTTTCTTACGACCTGACAAACTGCTGTCCTGCTGATGTGATCAGTATCTGATGTAATAAAGAAAACTTCCGCTGCAGAAGAATCAAAGGGCAATGCATAAAATTTAATGCGATCATAATGCAAATCCACAATGTGTAATATTTGATGTATCTGTATGGAACAGATTGTTGATAAATGATAGTGTGACATGAAATTGTATCTATCATATAGAAACTCCTCTGGGAAGACATCCAAACGGGGTCTAATCACCTTCTGCTTACGCAACAGACCCTGAATAAATTGTGCCTCAACGTCCATGACTATTCACAAAAGACACACCATGGTTCTCTGTCAACCTGCTACACGCTCAGCCTGCGAGCCAGCAGGTTTGCTTCACGGAGTATGTTGCCATAGTAACTGACTCAGGGTTATGCTGAACTGGCTTTTTGAAACGGAAAAGTCAGTTTCCCTCATCTCAGGCTTAACAAACTCAGAGTTTTCACTAATCCCGCTTTCTGAAATAGGGCCCAGCTGTGCTTGTGCTTTTTATTCACCAATGGGATAGAGGTGAACTGAAAAGGAGGACACAGTTTAGTCTTTCTTCAACATCATCATGTTGCCTTCACTTTCAACAGTCTCTATGGGCAAGAAACTTTTACGAAAAGAAAAGAAAATGAAAAGGAAAAAACAAAAACTGGCCAGTCAGTGCCTGTGGTCTCCATGTGGTATCTCTACAACTACGGGAGCCCTGATATCTACTGTTTCCAGATTTCTGCAGTGACTCACACATGTAAATACAACCATTTACTCTGTTGAGTACAGTGTTATTATAGCTCATACAAACAGTTGCGAAACGTAAGCAAATACAATCAGGGTAGTGATAAACTAGAAATATTCTTCAATATGTATTTTCTCTTTATTCAGTTATTGTGTCTTACTAAACAGAATATTTGCATCCCTGCTAGTCAGGGAGCCAGGCAAGAGAGAATGCTCAAATTTACTATCAAACCCAGCAATTAAGCTACATGTGGTACACACCAGAAGGGCTCTGCGTCCTCAGCACCACACACTACACGCAACAAGAAGGAAGTCACTGTTTAAAGTACCATGCCAATTTCTTCATTCATCTTAAATGCATTTTCATCTTTCATTAACTCTCAGGCAAGAGCAAAGAGGACGCCATGAACGAGTACATCAGTCTGGTGGAGGAGCTGAAGAACAAGTATGGAATTTAGTGTCATATGATAAACGCATTACAGCTGGACCAACTGCTGGGGGATGGACTGGGAGAAGTGGCTAAGACCACCACCAGCTGTCCTCCATCGTCACACCATGAAAACGCCTTAAATCCCAAGAAGGGTGTCCTTACACGTGAATGCCTGCTGGTCCACCCTCTAGTGGTCCCAGTGGTCTGAATAACCACTAATGTATGATCAGAAACTGTACAATGTACCATCATGTTTTAATTAATGATTTCTAATAGAGTGTATCTGCACAGAATCCTGTCATTTCAACATAAAATCTTTTTTTCTCAAATTGTTCTGTTTGGTGCATTCTGATTATTTGATGTTCTAGTGTCACCAGTGGCGGTTCTAGGCCAGTTTCAATTGGGGGGGCAAGCTAGGGCCAGTCCTTATGATACAGGGGCACATAACAAGTAGGGTCAAATATCTAAGTCTGAACAATAAGATATATATTTACAGATATACACAGGATTTTTTGGAGACTACATCCAACCCTGTAGGGGGGTCCGGGGGCTTGCTCCCCTGGGAGAAAATTTTGTATATATTTGATTTAAAGGCATCAATCTGGGGGGTATTCCATCAACATAGCTAAAAATATCCAGACTAAGAGGCCGTTTACACGTACATGGTGATTTTAATAAACGGAGACATCTTCCTTTGTTTGTGCCCTTTCTTTACACGCAAACGGAGATTTCTCCTCTGAAAACGAGTCTTTCTAAAAACTCCGGCCAGAGTGGAGATTTGGGAAAACGAGTTATAGGCAGCCGATGTCACAGTATGCACCGGAACTTGCGCCTGTGTCAAAAGTGCGACCTATGTTGCTATGGTGACAATGGATACATGGAAGGCTTGAGCTTCTCGTTACACTGCCACCTACAGGTTTGGCATGCTCTTGTGTATATATACACGGGTAAGTGTAAACGAAGGTCTTTTTGAAAACGGAGACGGTGAAATGTCTGTTTATGAAAATAGCCAGCAAAGCGTAAACGGCCTCTAAGGTGTAATCTTGAAGTATGACTAAATGCCAACTCCCAATCTAGCTCCAACCAGTTACATCAAGTGAAATCAGCTGGCTCCAACTGACGCTAATTCAAGCCTCACCTGTTAAGCCTCAACTCATGCACGTGCCCAGGGAAAATAAAAAGCCCAAACTAGTCGAGTGCCGAAAATGTTGCAAAATGTCAAAAAGCAAAAGAAAGGAGTGAGCGGAGGCTTTTTCTGCGGCGGAGCAAACGCTCCTTATGGAAGTGTATGAGGACTATAAGGACATAAGAAAAAGGCAATACTGCAGCAATTAATAAAGCAAGGGAGGTGGCGTGGCAGAATATTGCTGACAGGCTAAATGTGTAAGTGACAAAGAAAATTCAGCATTTCAGCATAATATCATGTTATATAAATCCTGCGTCAAAGGGACAAAATATATGTAGATAATGTGGCAAGACCAGTTGAACTGCGAGAGGCAGATCTGGAGAATTAGCACCAACAACGCCACCTTAGGACTTGCACCTAAAGAATCTACTTTCCGCTTTAATTTCTCAGAGGGTTTCCCAAAAAAATCACCCATACACAGGTAAGTTACACAAATGAATACAGGCACGATGTAAGAAGTTTAACAAGTTTTATTACTCACAATAAAATAATTTCTTTATTAAGTTATTTCTCTTTTTAAAAAAAGTTATATAGTTCTTTTTATTTCCAAAGAGTACAATATTAATCTTATCAGTGAACATCAGTTAACAACTTTAGCTGTTTTTTTTTTTCTTGAGGTCAACTGCGCAAATAAAAGAAAAGAAACCAAACAAAATATATACAAAACAACTGCAAACTCAAATCAAAACGAAAGAAAAAAAAGAACAAAAATAAACATGCTGCATGCATAAATTTAGCAGGTCCTCAATGCTGTGTTAACTTCCCACCCCCCACTAAGGAGTCACGGTCTGAGGTCAGTCTTGAACTACAATACACTACTTAAAAAAAAAGGGCGTCTAAACGACGAAGGCAGAGCGGCTGTCTAAGTGAGCCAGGCAAAACAAAAAGAAAACAAACTATGGAGGTAAGAGGCAAGGCAGGGCAAAACAGCAGCCTAACGCCAGGCAAACTTTAAAAGAGACACAGAGTGAGCGTTAGTAACAATACAGAAGCTACATAAGCACTAGCAAACAAAATAACATTGAGCTTGTGGCATTGTTTACCTGCGGGGTCAGCTGTAGCCTGCACAAATCAATAATGTAGCTGTTGAAAGCTAACGGCGGCAGCGGCGGCTAACTGCAAGGGGACACACACACACACCTCGGCTCAACACACCAACCTACAACAGAGAACTGTCAACATGGCACCTTATAACATCTTTACAGCATCATGAGACTGTGCTACACATACCTGGAGAACGAACACACGGCACATACTACGCCGGGAAACCACGGCTCAGCGGAGCTGCACCCCGGCCAGCACTTGCTTCAGCAGGGGAGAGAGAGCGACTAAACGACAGCGGAGGGGTATATGAACAGGTCTGCATTAGCAGCCAATAACGCGGCTGCACTACGGGTGCCGGTAAGGGGCGTGACACACACCTGCCGCGATCGCCATGCCTGCTGCAACATAAACAGACTGAGGGACACAGTAAAGAAATACAATATCTACACTGTAAATAACCACCCGGTTACAATAAGAACACCTATATCTAACAATTCAAGTATGCCTAATGAAATTCACCACGTGTAAATTAATATTAGTGATAGGCTATTTGTCACATTTATCTACTGATTCCTATGTACATTTCAGATGATGAATTTAATCAAACTGTTTTATGTCAATCATCGTATTTATCACATAATTGATTGTAGATTATGACATTTCCGAAATGATCAGTTTATAGGAAATAATCACATTACATTTATCTGTTGATTGTAGAAAATTCTATTTAGCAAATCCATCAATTCAGTGGAGATGAGGAAAGCAGTGAATGCAGGTGATATTGAATCAGTTATCTATTTCACATCATTTGGGAGTCAATTGTAAGCTCGATCCCTTATTATATCAAAATAAGGAAAATCCTCTTAAATGTATGGAATGTGCTATAGGATGAGGAACAGACAAACCACAATGGTGTGTCCCATTTTAATGTGGTTGCTTTGTGTCATGGTTAATTCATAAATATAAAAGATAAAGATAATGTTAATGTGAACAAATCAAGCCCTATGCATGATGTATGGTGATGCTAGAAATAATCAAAATGAATAGAAAATACACCCTTTTTACCTCTCTGCAAACAGTTGCCTTACTTAGCCTCTCAGCATCACCAACACTATACAGGAATGTACCGCTAGCAAAGAACCTCAGTGCAATACAGACTGACTGCACAGTGGTCAGAGACTGGCTGTGGCGTATGACCTTTATAACGTGTGGTTCCAGCAAACTGCATAGATACACTATGCTTTGCCTGCTGAACCGGTACCTCTCCCACAGATAGGAGTCCGTCTGTATCAATGGGTTGGTCCTGTCCTGGAAGACCCTTCAGGCTGGTGGTGGTTGGAAGGCCCTCTGAACAATGTGGGCCTCCTCATCAACAGGATCCTCGATGAAGGGGCATGCCATTATTTCCTAATTCACTCTCTCTTGCTCTGTCTCTGTGTCTCTCTTGTTGTGTCCCTCTCCTTCTCTGGCAGTCAGTTGACCTTAATTGGCTGTGAATTTGCTAGCCAATTGGAAACAGAGTGGGGTGGGGATGGAGGGCAATCACATATTCACGTACAATCTTTTTTAAGATGCCTCTTAAAAAAGATTGTGCCTCAGTTTCATTTTATTATAGTTTTGTTTTTATTAAATTGATTTTGGCTTTACTGTTGTAAGTGGGTTTTTTTAATTATCTTATTTTTATTACATTTTAATTAGTTTTTTAATAGTTAATTTTTTTATTAATTATGTTATATATTTTATGATCTACATATTATTTTATCATTACATGACAGTTGTGAGTGTGTAAAAGCACTGGCAGAACTGTCTTTTAGGTGTCTGTTCTTGTCTATTGAACATTTTTTGATCATAGATGGAGCTAATCCTCGCCTTAATCCTGCTACAGACCAGGATTGCCTGGCAGCATAAGTTACCACGGTTACTAGGCTGGGATTCAGGTTAACCACCTTGATGGAACAGAGTTGTGGCTCAGTTTGATGGAATGGAAACCGGAGTTTAGCTTGATGTATCAGGCTTAGCCAGAACCATGGTTTCCATGGTTACCAATGTGAGGCTAATTTTAGCCACTTTGATGGAACAGAACTCTGGCTCACATTAGCCAGACTTGGCCATTTAAGCCTGGATTTGCCTTTAGCCTGCTTGATGGAATACCCCCCTGGTGAATTCTGAGAGCCAAGTTATGATGGCAGAATATGCCTAGATTTCAACATCTTTGTGCTTTTTATGTGTGAAAAATATTCTATTTTTACTGATAAAATTATAATTATAATTATAAAATTATATGTTATACAAATGGCACATATAGCCTTAAAACAGACTAACTAGACAAGACTACTCAAGTTAGTTTGTAGTTAGGATCAGCATCCACGAGAACTGTGTAGATTCAACGTTGGACTGTAAAGAACACAGAGACATGGATGTATGAAAGAAATAAATCCCTGGGGGGGTCTGGGGGTCCTCCCCCAGAAAATGTTCAATTAAGTAGATGCCATATTAGCACCAGATAATCCAAACTGGTTCTGTGAGATATAGTTCTGGCTCAATATAGATCAAAAAAGGGCCCAACATAAAAGTCATTGCAACAGTAATGTTTTTACCACCAAAGAGGGCAGTTTATCATGTTTTAACCAGCCAAGAGGGCAGTTTACTGTGTTTTTCAGCTCCAAAGAGGGCACTTTAGCACGCGTGATGGCTCCCAGGAGGGCACTTTAGCGCGTGTTTTGGCTCCCAGGAGGGCACTTTAGCGCGCGTTTTGGCTCCCAGGAAGGCATTTTGGCTGCCAAGAGGGCACTTTAGCGTGCGTCAATTTGCACAGACCAAATGAGTCAAACAGGAAGTCAGGTGCAGAAAAGACAAGAGTATCTGGTCAATTTTCACAATAAAACACCCATGAAAATCATAGACATAAGCCATTTCTCAATACTCAAGTTCAGCAGTTAGGAAGTCAACGGGAGAGTCCGGACCCCCCAAGAACGGGAGGACGGGAGTACAGTCATTTCTGCTTTTGGTACAGCAGCGAACTTGACGATGTCACCACCTCCGCTCGCCTTGGCTGTTGTACTGTGTTGTATACATGCATTTAAAATAAAACAATGTAAA